GTTTCGGTGAGTACTGGCTTTTTTTTTCTGCGGAACTCTTATGGGCGGTACGTACATAAATAGTGCAGATAATCTGCAATTAGTTACTAGCAGATTTCATGCATACTTTATGCATATTTCATGCATAACTATGCAGACTTTACACATAGTGGGAGGTTCGCGGAGCTTATGTGTAAAACCTGCATAAGATTGCAGATAATCGGCACAACGTTTTCTGTGTGCATTTTACTGCACTATCCGTTTGTCTACTGTGTAATTGGCCGTATTACCTCACTGCCCAATTTACTCCGGTATACCGTTTTGCTCTATTGTGCAAACTACCCTGTCCACTTTGCCCTACTGCCCGATTTACCCTGATATAGCGTTTTACCCCACTGTTAACTTACCCCGAAATCCCGTTTTTTGTCACTGTTTAAACCACCCTGAAACCCTGATCTTTGTCACTGTTTAAATTACCCCGATATATACCATTTTATCCCACTGCCCAATTGACCTCACTGACCAATTTACCCCGATATACCGTTGTACCCCACTGCCCATTTTCCCCCGGTATACCATTTTCCCCCCACTGCTAACTTATCTGATAATTCATCCGATCCTACCGTCCAAACTACCCCGATATACCCCGGGATGAAAAATTTGAGTCTTTTTGGGGTCTGCAAGACTCGCGTCTGCGTCTATGAGAGAGTATAGCTCAGCGCCAGTAGCCATACTTTTGAGAGACTCTGCGTGGGAGACGCAGCAAGACTGCCGAGAGACTGCTACCGAGCGTCTCTCGGCGAGAGGCTCCGCGTCTCTTACGTATCTCAATAATTAATTAATCACTAATAACTCCTTCAATTTCATTATTGGAAAATAATTGAAAATATTAATGTAGTTAATTCACAAATTGAACAATTATAAACCAAAAAAAAAAGAAATCGGTTCAGCGGTTCTCCAGATGTTCCCTCCCGGTCGATCCGCCGTGTTCCCTTTCGGTCACCCATCCTTTTACTAACCCAACTCGCTACTGCTTAGCTTCAGTGATCGCAGGTTACCCCGGTATCTTCTGCGCTATACAGCTGGTTGTGGCGAGTCAATTTTTTTTTTCGCTTGATATGCGCAATTATTGAGAGGGAGGAGATAGGGGAAGCATTGACGAAGGTGAACAGTGGGATAATATGGGATAACGGAGGGGGCGCATGATAAGGAAAACTGGAATTAAATGGGGCAAAATGGGATACTGGGGTGGAGTGAACCAACTGGACAGCGGGGTAAAATGGAAAGCAGTTGTGCCATTTACTCGTGGGGTAAAACGGGAAAGCAGGTTAGTTAGAGTGGGGCAAAATGGGATAGCGGTTAAATGAACCCATAAAGTAAGCCGGAACGGTGAGTGTGGGAGACGTTATCCCATTTTACCCCACTCCGACAGTGGGGTAAAATGGGATAACGGGGTGACTTGGAGTAGGGGTTGAATCCGAAAGCGAATTAATTTAATTTTTCAATTTTTGTACTTTTTCAATTTACTTTTCTAATTTTTTTATTTATGGTTGGGTAAATTGAATGATGGAATGAAATTAAATGGTCGAGTGTAGAATTGAATTTCCGAGTAAACAGGACGAGAATGCTATTCACTGCTCAGATTGTGGGGTAAAATGGGGTGAACTAAATGACAGGCTAATTAGCCGGAGGGGTAAATTGGGCGGCAGGTAAATTAAATACGGGTGTTTAGGGGGATGATCGGGTAAAATCGATAGCGGGGTAAAATGGGTGAGTCTGGCTAATATGAGGGTGGGGTAAAACGGGACGGTGGGGTACAATGAAACAGCCTGGCAAATTGGACGATAGTCAAATTTGACCGGCGACGAAATAGGACAACAAGGTGAATTGATAATGGGATAAAGGAGTAAGACAGAATAAGGGTTTAAAGCGGATCCGCCTCAACCCGTTATTCCATCTTATCCCGCTATCCCATTTTACCCCATAGGCAGGGTTAGTGCGCCGACCAATTCACTTTGTTGTCCTATTTCACCCCGCCCCCCGGCCCAAATTCACTCATGTTCCAGGCTACCTCACCTTCCCGTTTTACCCCACTAGCTAATTAGCCTGTCATTTAGTTCACCACTCATCCCATTTTACCCCACGATATAATTCGTCCATCCCCCGCGATCACCAGATTATCTTATCTTGCTCCGTCGTCCATTTTATTATCCCCCCTCCCCCCCACCCATCCTTTGTACTATATTATACTTGCTCCAGTGTCTATTTAATTAACAATTAATGAATCAATAATTAATTTTAGCGAGATCCTGATTATCAGTCCCGAAAATTCTAAATCCCTATCTTTCAATGAGAGACTCTAGTCTCTACCGTGTTGGCGAAGATTTAGATAGACTCGAGTCTCTCACCAAAGACTCTCCGAGACGCGAAACCGATTACGGAAGACCCAGGCAGACTGATTTTAGTCTTTCAGTCTTGGAGAGATCCAATAGACTAAAAATTTTTATCCCGGGACGATTTTACCCCACTTACCTCTGCTCAATTTACCCCGATATCCCATTTTACCCCACCGTTAAATTTACACTGATATCCTATTTAACCTCATTGTTTATTTATTTTCTCTTCCATTCACCAGGCTACATTACCCGACTACACATAGCACTATCATACCTATTCCATGAATCGCCTATATAAGCCCAAAAACTATTATCAGTGTCAGAAGGAACAGCACGGCCTAGAGGACTCCCGGACATTCAGCGATCATCGAAGTTAAGCAGCATCGAGCCGGGATAGTAACTGGATGGGCGACCGCTGGGTAACATGGGGGACCGTTAGGTCGAATTCTTTTTTTTTTTTTACTATCATGATTAGATTGACGGATGACGTACATTGATGTACTTAATTATACTCCACCAATATAATTGGGAGAGTTATTAATGATTAATTAATTATTGGAACCGGTGAGAGACCCAGAGTCTCCCGCCCATAGACGCTTGGTTTTGGTCGGCCAATACAATAGTATCGCACAGTCTCTTGCGAAGAGTCTCCCAAAAGTATGTATACTGGCGCTGAGCAATACTCTTTGAGAGACGCAGATGCAAGTCTCTGAGACTCTCAAAGACTCTCATTTTTTCATCCCGGGTTTGCCCGTCTATTCCACTTTGCCCCACTCTAACTAGCCTGCTTTCCCGTTTTACCCCACGGGTAAATGACACCCCTGCTTTCCCATTTTACCCCGTTATCGACTTGGTCCACTCCACCCAAGTATCCCATTTTTGCCCCATTGTCTCTTTCATTCCAATTTCTCTTATCATGCCCCCCCCCCTCCATTATCCCACATTACCCCACTGTTCAGCTTTCCTATCATGGCAAGCGGGAAAAAATACATCCTGTCATAAGCAGCTAATACCGGGGTAATCTGCAATCACTGAAGCTAAGCAGTAGCAAATTGGGTTAGTAAAAGGATGGGTGAACGAAAGGGAACACGGCGGACCGACCGGGAGGGTACATCTGGAGAACCGCTGAACCGATTTCTTTTTTTTTTTCATAATTGTTGAATTAATGAATTAACTACATTAATATATTCAATTATTTTTTAACAATACAATTGAAGGAGTTATTAGTGATTAATTAATTATTGATATATGTAAGGTACGCGGGGTCTCTCGCCGAGAGCTGCTCTGTAGCAGTCTCTCGACAGTCTTGCCGCGTCTCTCACGCGGAGTCTCTCAAAAATATGGCTACTGGCGCTGATCCATACTCTCTCATAGATGCAGACGCGAATCTTCCAGACCCCAAAAAGACTCAAATTTTTTTTCCCGGGAAATTACAGATCGAAAATCATGAGCGAGCAGGGCAAAGTATTGTAGTAAAGAGAACTTATCCTGATCGATAGTATACCGATAACATACACTGAAAACATAGGAGAACATTGAGGCTAAAAACGCGTTTGTCATTAAGATTTTTTTACTTTCTATTATATTTTTGACAGCCATTTGTATGGTCGAAAAAAATTGCAGAGCTAGGGTGGAATTATCAATTGGATACTGGTTATGGCATCAAACCAAACAGAACACTGTAATTGATCAGACTGGAACGGCAAAAATAGTCAATAAATTAAAATTATCTGGTGAAGTCTCTAAGGATTCCAGCATTGTTCACACGAAAAACACTATGCGGATTTTTCGTAACCACTATGCAGAGCTTGCGCATAATAAAATTTAAATTGGAAAATAAGCTTACGCATAAGTGGGCAAATTTAGGCAATCAGTGAAATATAAATATCATTAAACTCTGAAAGCAAATAATAATTTCAAATAGTTCGGTGGTTAATGGTACTCCAACACTAAAGGCCCATCGTCAAGAGTTGGTGAGGATTGAATTCTTCACCAATAGCTGACGATTCCTTTGAGAACTTAGTCACCTCAGTGAGAGAAGTTAATATCTTCATAATGAAGGTGTACTTACACGAATTTTTATTTTATTGTCGTAAGAAGGTACGATAGAGTTAATGAAGGAACATCTTATATTCATTAGAAATTATTCAGCTAATGGATGTAATAAGAAAGGACCACAAGAATAGTGTAGTTAAGGACCCATGATTTATACAGCAAAATAGTACATAGTACCTTCGGAGATATTCGAATTGTCAGGGTGGATCAAACAATTTTAATCACCATACAATTTTAAAGATAGTGTTGAGTACTAGATGTGAAAAAATTAATTTTGCCCGCATAACCATATTGACCCCATAAAGTGTGTATCAATGCTGTTAACTTTATGCATGTTTTGCGCATAATTCATCGAACTTCATACACAGGATTATAGGGTGGCGGAGCTTATGTGTAAAATGCACATAGTAATTGCGGAAACTCCGCATTGTATTTTCTGTCTATTGATTCAATCTAGAATGTTTCAGGAGTACAATTTTCTAAAACCTACGAGATACTTCAGTCGTTTTTAGCGCCTATCGCGAGGCAGGTTTGTTCATCGTACATTTAATTCAATAACCAACATTATAGGTTTTTCATATGAACGCCCTGAGGAATGGAGGAATGAAAATCCAAGCTGTGATGGTAAATCACAATCACCAATTAACATTGATTACAATGAAAACGACGTATTAATGCAGGATATAATATCGCTCAAGTGGAATGGGTATGAAAACACACCCGATATTATGACCGGGGCTAATAACGGACACACAAGTAAATCTTTACATCTATTACATACACAGTACTATCACAAGATTCAATCTTTAAACTACTCAGACCAAAAATGAACCCATCTCATGATATGTTTTTAGTCAAAATCATTCCCAAGTGGGCGGATGAATCTAGAAGACCCTATTTATCTGGTGGACCTCTCAGTAGTCGATACGTTCTCCAAGAATCCCACTTTCATTGGGGGGCGGATAACAATGTTGGAAGCGAACACACGGTCAATGGAAAAAAGTAAGATACTTATTAACACTGTTCCGTTACTGTTTACATTTCATTATGGTATACTTTCTAATCCAAATTCTGTATTGGAACCATTAAAGGTTCGTCCTTGAGGCCCACATGGTACACTGGAAACTCGATTACGGTTCATTCTCAGCAGCCGTTGAACAACCTGATGGACTCGCAGTAGTTGGATCGTTCTATGATGTAAAACTTACGATTACTATTGTCGGGAATGGAGAAAAAAAATCCTCCATTCCTGGAAATTCATACAGAAAAAAAGTAATCAGAGAAATCTAAAACTGTTCATTAAAGTTAACATATAACTTAATTGAACAAAACAATGATACACAAATGATATATGATAGTACGATATGATGCACCAAATTCTGCAGCGTATTGTGAATTTATTAGCAAAAACAACTATGCTATATGAAGCCAAAAACCATTTCCCACTTGTACTATATCACTCTTGCTTGTTAAGTCTCCTATTCCATGATTCCTAACATACAACAAAAATTCTTTGTATGATTGCCTCTTCGTCGGTGTGAAATGCAGCACAATTTTTAATAGTAGTGTAATTCCAGATCAACAATATACAGGACAAATGTTCATGTGCCGTTAATGACATCGTAAATATCGCCTCGATACTCTCGGAAGAAGGCAAAGACGCAGACATAGTTCCATTCCCAATATCGAAGTTTGACGTAGTCAACACTACCGATGTCATAGCAAGTTACCAAGGATCTTTGACGACTCCTGGATGCAATGAAGCAGTTACGTGGATGTTGGCGATTCATGGATATCCGATCTCAGAAGTTCAAGTATGTTTTCAAAAGAATCAATTTCTCAACTTTATTATCAAACAGTTTTTCTCTTCCTTGATTGACAGATGAAAGTATTGAGAAGTGTTCAACTGCATCATGGCGAAAATCATAACTATCGTCCAGTCCAGCCCCTAAATGGTCGTCAAGTTTCATTTTTCCATTGAGAATGGTAGTACTCCAATGCTTGTAGATGGATTTTCTATTCAAATGGCAACTGGACCAATGTCGGAAAGACTGGAAGTTTCAAAGTTGATTACGATGATGCTTTACGCAGATAATCAACCATTCATATCCTGTGAATAATCTAACAAACTATCATTACATATTAACAAATGGGTGGTATTCTTCAATATTCACTGGAGGACAAAACGTTGTCACACTTGGCTTATGACTAACTAAGCTTACATTTCGGAATTGATAAAATTACGTTCTTCGCACTTTGCCATGTAAAATAAGACTTACGAGATATATGCCAATAAACGATAATTACATGAATCAACTAAATATTTCTAACCAAATATTTCTAAAATGTTCAAAGTGGAATCTCTAGATCTCTGAAATTTCATCCAAATTTGCTGAGGCCGAGAGAAGAAATATGCGCAAGGGTTTGCTTCATATGGTAGTCAATCCAGAGATGAGCAATTTCTAGTTATCAAGAGTATGACTTTTTTTTTAGATTTTCATCTCTTATTAATATAATCTGTGATATCCAAAAATCTATAAAATAGCTTCTCTCAGTAATTTCACAATTATTGTTATAAATACGCGATAAATATTCAACTCAATCTCACCAATGGGGCTGTCAAAAATACAACATCAACGAGAAACGTTTAACCACACGGTGGATGCACTTGTCATTGCAAGAGAGTGACACGTAACGGGCGATCAACCTCATCTTCGAAATCAAATGCTGAAATAGCTGACTGGTCGATCTCTCAAAGAATAATAAGTTGTAAAAATCACACCATAATTTTCCCCCATCAAAAGTTGAGTCGTAGTACCATCAAGAATTGAACCGCTCTTCAAAACCAAAATTATGAGCCAGTCTAGAAGCAACCGTGGAGCGTTAATTTGAGTTGGTGGAAATTACTTAGGGAATTGATCTGACACTTCGATCTCCCAATATAATGATTGGCGACAGAATCGATATAGTGCGTCGTATCATGTTACCTATTGGATAGTAGTAAATAGCTATGGAACGAAAATGTACACGGACACTGCGTCCTTGAGTCGAAAGTAGCAGTGCTTCTTGCATTTTAAGAGGACTAATTAAACACTTCCTTGGATGTGGACGTTGTCAACAAAAAACTTTCAAGCTTATGTCAACATTATAAGCAAGTGGGTGAACATGACTCAATAAGAGATGCATAATAGGGTCAGAAGAACTTTGCTTCTGGCAACGAAAGACGATTGTTTTACGGAAAAATACACAAACTGAAAACTTAAGGATTACATTTAGAAACTCCAGTTAATTGTGAGTTCAAAACCGAAAAACTTTCAAAATTTCAAAATCGCTAATAATCGGCTATAAAAATTTATAAGGAACTTTCCAAAGATGAATGTTCCACTGCTGCTACTTCTCCATGACAAAATTTTCATTGTGATTTCTGAATGAAAGTCTAGTTTAAATTCAAAACTCATCATCGTCCAAACTAAAAACAATATGTAAAAATATTTGACACAATTATCTATTCAGAATTTTGTTTTTCCACGTTTTTATATAAAAAATTCTAGTCCATTGTTTCCGTAAATATTACATAGATCATCCGGTCATCGCTCTTCTGGTGTCACCTTTTCCTTTCCAGCTGGTATAGTATTGCCCCATCTGACGAAAAAAATAGTAACATGATAGTATTGCTCATTCAGTATAGCAATGTCGTATACTTTTCGTTTCATTTATGTTGCAGTATTTACGATGGAAAAATTGAAAAAATCTGTGATTGTAGTGGAACAACGAATATTCCTGAAATTTTGTGCCCTATTAGATTACTCTGGAGGAGTTGCGCACGGGTTATTAGTGAAATGTGTTGGCCGCAATGCATTAAATAAACGAACAATACAACGCTTGCTCAATACCTATAATCGAAGTCGAACGTCCGATGAAGATGAGGTGTGGGTCCCTTGACCAATGTCATCAAATAGATTAGAAGGAAGAGATAGAGTCGCAGAAGCTCTCCGTCAGTCACCTAGAGTAAGTGTCAACGATCTTTCCACCCAATTTGGTATTCCTCATTCGACTGTGCATAGAGTACTAACCGAAGATTTAGGTCTGGTTAAGAAATTGGCAACATGGATACCTCACAGTTTAACTGACGATCAAAAAAAATTTCGCTATGAAGCTGCACATAGCAACTTGGCGTGGTATCGTCGTAAGAAAAATACACTTTCTAGGCTCCTGTGTGTAGATGAGAGTTGGGTCGAATTTTATACCCCTCTTCAAAAACATCAATCACGATCTTGGGTGGAACCAGGTACGTCAGCGCCAAGATTACAACGTGCAGAACTTTACGAACGGAAGATACTGCTAATAGTAGCAATGGATATAAGAGGGATCGCATTTGGACGACTTATGCAGAAAATACAACTGTGACATCTGAACGTTATAAGGTATTTTTGGAGGGCAGTATTCCCAAATGGGCACAAGAACATCACTTAACAAGTCCCCTTATTCTACACGATAACGCTAGACCACATTAAGCATGCATCGTTCGGCAGTCAATTGACAATGAAGGTTGGGTAGAACTTTTCCACCAACGATATTCTCCCGATATGAATCAGTGTGATTTCAATTGTTTTGGTGACGTGAAGAAGGAATTGTCAGGTACTCGTTACAATGGCAAAGAGCAGTTAGATATTGAGTTGCATAGAATTATTTCCATTTTGAATGAAAATGGCACTCTACATGGTGTTCGAGAATTGCCAGCAGTCTGGGAGCGCGTCGTCAGTAACGGAGGAGATTACTGAATAATGAAAGATAATAATGAGAGATTACTGAATTATGAAAGTATCATTGTACGTCGGTTATCGCTTGTTCAGATATATAAAAGAAAAAGTGTGACACCAGAAGTGGGATGACCTAATAATGCTTCATTCCAAAAGTTGTCCTCCGACGCTGAAAACGTCTGCAGATGTAACACATCTAATGTTCATTACTATTCTAATTGCACATGTCAGAAAAATATATGAAATGTATGATTATAACATGGAGTAGGCGGGATCCCGAGTCAAAATTTTCCCGAGATTTTCGACCCATTTTCAACGTCGCTACATGGATTTAAGACGTTGAAATTGAGTTGAAAATTCCAATATAAATAGACTCCTCAACCTACTTTCAACGTNGCGCGTGATGGAGCGCGATGGTGTCACCGATGTCCAGTCGTCTCTCAGCGTTGTCGTATCCGTGCGTGTGTTCCGCGTTGGTGTTTGTGTAGCGAGGCGCTACACCCCCATCTTGACGTGACCCCCCTCCTCGTGCAGCCCCCCCTCCCCTCATTATAAATGAGTATAAAACATTTTGTGTTCATTAAACTATTTTATTAAATTCAATTCAGCACTAAATTCAAAATGATCAAGAACATTGTTACAACATGATAAACGATAAGTATGTGAATTATAATTATAATTATAATATGTAAATTATAATGAATGAGTAGAAAACTTCGAAAAAAACACACAAATTAGACATTAATCAAACAGATGATAAGGTTAATGCTACAACTGTTGAGGAGTAGCTGGTGATGCTTCATACACAGGATTATAGGGTGGCGGAGCTCATGTGTAAAATGCACATAGTAATTGCGGAAACTCCGCATTGTATTTTCTGTCTATTGATTCAATCTAGAATGTTTCAGGAGTACAATTTCCTAAAACCTACCGAGATACTTCAGTCATTTTTAGCGCCTATCGCGAGGCAGGTTTGTTATCGTACATTTAATTCAATAACCAACATTATAGGTTTTTCATATGAACGCCCTGAGGAATGGAGGAATGAAAATCCAAGCTGTGATGGTAAATCACAATCACCAATTAACATTGATTACAATGAAAACGACGTATTAATGCAGGATATTATATCGCTCAAGTGGAATGGGTATGAAAACACACCCGATATTATAACCGGGGCTAATAACGGACACACAAGTAAATCTTTACATCTATTACATACACAGTACTATCGCAAGATTCAATCTTTAGACTACTCAGACCAAAAATGAACCCATCTCATGATATGTTTTTAGTCAAAATCATTCCCAAGTGGGCGGATGAATCTAGAAGACCCTATTTATCTGGTGGACCTCTCAGTAGTCGATACGTTCTCCAAGAATCCCACTTTCATTGGGGGGCGGATAACAATGTTGGAAGCGAACACACGGTCAATGGAAAAAAGTAAGATACTTATTAACACTGTTCCGTTACTGTTTACATTTCATTATGGTATACTTTCTAATCCAAATTCTGTATTGGAACCATTAAAGGTTCGTCCTTGAGGCCCACATGGTACACTGGAAACTCGATTACGGTTCATTCTCAGCAGCCGTTGAACAACCTGATGGACTCGCAGTAGTTGGATCGTTCTATGATGTAAAACTTACGATTACTATTGTCGGGAATGGAGAAAAAAAATCCTCCATTCCTGGAAATTCATACAGAAAAAAAGTAATCAGAGAAATCTAAAACTGTTCATTAAAGTTAACATATAACTTAATTGAACAAAACAATGATACACAAATGATATATGATAGTACGATATGATGCACCAAATTCTGCAGCGTATTGTGAATTTATTAGCAAAAACAACTATGCTATATGAAGCCAAAAACCATTTCCCACTTGTACTATATCACTCTTGCTTGTTAAGTCTCCTATTCCATGATTCCTAACATACAACAAAAATTCTTTGTATGATTGCCTCTTCGTCGGTGTGAAATGCAGCACAATTTTTAATAGTAGTGTAATTCCAGATCAACAATATACAGGACAAATCTTCATATGCCGTTAATGACATCGTAAATATCGCCTCGATACTCTCCGAAGAAGGCAAAGACGCAGACATAGTTCCATTCCCAATATCGAAGTTTGACGTAGTCAATACTACCGATGTCATAGCAAGTTACCAAGGATCTTTGACGACTCCTGGATGCAATGAAGCAGTTACATGGATGTTGGCGATTCATGGATATCCGATCTCAGAAGTTCAAGTATGTTTTCAAAAGAATCAATTTCTCAACTTTATTATCAAACAGTTTTTCTCTTCCTTGATTGACAGATGAAAGTATTGAGAAGTGTTCAACTGCATCATGGCGAAAATCATAACTATCGTCCAGTCCAGCCCCTAAATGGTCGTCAAGTTTCATTTTTCCATTGAGAATGGTAGTACTCCAATGCTTGTAGATGGATTTTCTATTCAAATGGCAACTGGACCAATGTCGGAAAGACTGGAAGTTTCAAATTTCATTTAGCTGATGGGCCTTGGGCATGCAATGGCGACGTGGATTGCTGATAATTAGGGGGTGGAGTAATTGGAACCGAGAAGGTTTGACTGGCTGGTGACCGAGTCTGTTGGTTCCCATGTTCGGCGTTGAAGGGAACCGATGGGGTTGAGGCCTGTGGATATGATGTAGACATATTTTGTAATGGGGTGAAAGGTTGCACGTGCTGCTGGTACTGATAATTCATTTTATTTTGCTGATAGAAGTTTGCATTGAATTGATCTCCGTTCTGCCAATGCTGATTTATTGATGGATAGCCATATCCTTGAGAATTGAAGGAACCCTGGGAGTAGTCGGGGAACCATTGATGCTGACGTTGGGGGTCAAAATTATTGTGAAGAGAAAAGTTTCCCGGGTGAGGCCAATCCCTTTTCTTTAAACATTGCTGAGTTCCTGTTGCTGTTCCAAGTACTGAGGCTGTTGGAGACTGGAGTTTGCATTATATTGGACACATTGATGTTGGCTACATTAGTAGTATCATCAGTATACCCTGATCTGTTCTCTTTTATCCTGTTTATTCATTTTTTGTCATTTAGGACTGTTCAGCGTTTTTAAGGGACTGATCCCATCATTTGCAGAAATATGTAATTTTTTTCTAATTTCTCCATTACTCTCAGCAGCCCCGCCTGATGACTCCTCAAGCGCAACAGATCTTTCACGTTTTTTCCCTTTTAGTTGTGATGCTTTTTCTCCAGTCTTCAACATCTTCTTCCCTTGCTTAGAGTCTCGATATTTCCTTTTGTTATGACAAAGGTTATTAGTTGCCCTCAAGTATACCTTGTCATTTAAAGGTTTCAATAGATGGTTTTGGTTGTTCAGCCAGTCTGCAGCAATGAAGTTACATTTAATTAGGAATCAAATCATTGATTTAGTAATTTATATTTGTAAATTCATAAATTTATCTAATATTATTTTGATAGTGATTGATTTTTGGGGGAAAAGTCAAAATACATTTGGTGTAGGAAATTTTGTCAATCACGGAAAAAATTTGTTGACATTTTGCCCTACTATCACTTCTTCTCGAGATAATTGAGCAATTGGCAAGTAGTCTAATCTTGGCGTCAAATGTGACATCTGCCATTAGGTATTAATTACGGAATTATCTGTCATTTTAATAGAAGATGTCAATACGCTTTCATTTTATAAATTTTTTAAGCTTCGAATAATCTTTTTTGATATGTTTCCCTAGGAATACTCGTTTGTGAGATATTTGCAATGGAACAAAACCTTCATTCCCATGAGAATCTGAGCTAATGATACATTTATTCAATAATCTTGATAATTACTGAGAGAAGAAAGTGAAAATCCATTTCTTGTAGATAATTTTGTCAACTATATAAAAGGTTTTTTGACGTTTCGTTCTATAATCACTCACTAATGAAACAATGGAAAAGTTACTAAGTGCCAAAATATCTCTTATCAAGCATAACATTGTCAATTAATTGTAAATCGTGCATTAACACGATAATTAGCATGTTTGGGACAAAAAATCAGGAGAAATTTTTGTTCGAAATTTCACAACTTTCGAAAAAGGTCTTCTGAGGTTTTGCTCTGTGATCACTCATTTATAAGATAATAGAAAAATTAGTCAATGACGAAAGAGCTCAAGTGAAATTTAAAATCTTCATTCAATTATTAATCATGGGATTGAAATGATAATGAGTGTTTGAAAGTGAAAAACTGAAGAGAACTTTTTCGTCAAAAATTTTTCGTTTTGATAATAATATTGTCTGACTTTTTTCCTTAAATCCATTCGTTTTTAACTGATTTCAAGTGCAAATAAAAATAATATTTTCTAAGAATGCAACCTATTGATAAATTTATCTAATATTTAGATAATTATTCATTTCAGGGGGAGAAGTGAGAATGCATTTTTTTGGGGGATATTTTGTAGGCTGAAAAAGTCTCTGGAGATTTGGGTTTATCATAACTCGTTACCGAAATAATTGAAACAACCAATAAGTGGTGAGATGACTCGAGTGAAATGGAACATCTTCAATTGAGTTTCAATTAGAAGATTATCTCGATAATGAGTGATTTTAGGAAGAAATTTCTAAAGACATTGTTTGCTAAAAATGTCTTAAGCTACAAAAAATATCTACTGACATTTCTTCTTAAAACTACTTGTTTTCAAGATATTTTGAGTTTAACAAACAAATAATTTTCAAGTGAAATTCAATCTATTCATGAATTTATATTATCGATTCGATAATTATCGATTTCAACGACGTCCAAATTTAAAAAATCGACAAGTGATGCTTACTATATAGACCATCATAAACTCTGCTTGAAATTCCTGGTCTGGATCCTGCCCTCTTTCCTTTACCAGAGAAATCTACGATATTTTTACCATAGATTTCAAGGAGTCCTGCTTTCAGTGCATATTCCCAGTCGAAGAGACCAGTTTTTTCATTCCTGGAGTTGTTTTCCATGTTATTTTTTTTATACTCTGGAAAATAAATTCCGCAGTCTGGGGAAATTTCTATCTGAAAATTTTTGTTAAGATTAGTGAATGGCTAACGAAGAAAGTTCATTTGTAATAATTAGTAATACCTTATCTTTTCCAGGTTGAGTGAATTGATCAGGGATCTGGAAATTGATAGATTAATAGATCCGAAAATATTAAAATAGTAAAAGTCTAGTTGTGATTTTCAACAAAATTCAATTTAGAATATCCGTTACTTGATTTTAATCATGGAAATAAAGGTATTACCTGAAACATATCAAGCTTCTCATGTGTTACAGTCTCTTCTGTTTTCTTCCTATAGGCATCTTTCATTACTGTCAAAAGTTGTCTCTGATAGTGTATATTCGCCTCTGTTACTGCAAAAGCAAATTATGATTAGTACAACTGAAAAATTCATATAAATTCACACATAGATTCCCAAATAGCAACGGCACACATACAATTGATTGTGATGAGGCGACATCTTGATTTTCTCCCAGAAGGTCCAATAAAGAATTATTGTTTTCGCCGCAAGAAACAAGTGAAAATCTGTGAGAAGATATCAACCAGCTGTTACACCGTGGGAACATATTCCAAAGTCCTTCCAGAACTTCCAGTCCAGATTTTGGAAGCAATGAATCGATCTCGAATACCGATGGGCAGAGTACAAACATACAAACGTCTTTTGAAGCAAAATAAATTGATTATTTGTGAAACATACTTGAGAGATTCAAACACTCAATCTTCTCATGTTCAATACATTCACCACGATGAAGAAAGATTAGGATCCATTCATTGCTTCATCAAAGTCACCCCTTATTGTGACTGTTTGCATGAATGTTTGTGTCTACCAATGCATTATGCAATAACACGGACATTGCGATATGATCGTGTCTTTGGAGTACGTACTGACACTATTGATGAGCAATATGTACCATTGGTGCACTTACTCAAAACCAATCGACAGGATGAAATTATTGCACTTCCCTTGGACCAAATAGTATCAGTGTGTGTTTACATGAATATAGATGATCAATCTTACATTGGGCTCCTAATAAATAGCTATGAGCTTGAATGATGGAGTATAAAACAGAGTGAAAAGTTTTTGCATCCAGATCCTATATTTCTCATAATGATCTATCTATGTGGGAATGAGTGATTTCAGGAGATAAAGCAAAAAGATTTTTTTTCTAGCTGAATAGATTTTCAAAAAAAAAACTGTTTCTTGACATTTACTCCTAGAATCGCTCATTATCATGATAAATCGAAATTTAACTTGCTACTTCTGAACCCTAACAATTAAGTAGAAGACCTGTGAATGGATTACCTGTCAATGGATACCTTCACATGATTAGGGAAAAGTAAAATCTATTTTATTTTTGGAAATCACTTATCAATTTTTTATCAGTAATTAAAATTTTTTCTCAATCAATAAAGTTTTCGTGATTAACCGTTTAGTCATTTGAAAAAAAAATAAAATAAAAATAAATAAACTACAAAACAAGAGCCAGACTTGGTAAAAGAATGTTTATATTGTGCAATAAAATACAATGAAATTACATAAAAATTCCATTGATTAGTTTTTTCTGTTTTTTTACATAAAGATGTGATTAAATATTTCAAATACATTTTTGTGGCGTAAAATATTCAAAATTGAAACAAATATTAGCTACTTCAAGGATACCTATTGTCTCAAATCGAGGTAAGAAAATGAAAATACTTTGAATTGTGTTAGACAATTACTTCAATTTTTTGTGTGCACCTGAGAAACTGGAATAAAATAATGAACAATTTTCTTTTTTGTAACAAAAAACATTGAACATTTCAAACTTTCCCCTTTATTAATACTCAACAAACAGAGAAAACAACTCATAAAATTTTCCAATTCTCGAATCCAATGGGCAGAAATTCCATAAAATAATTTTACACTATTTTATTTCAATCGATAAAATTTATTGAATAATAGGAATATCCATACATTAGCCTTGGGAAAATACTCCAGTTTAAAGTATTTGGAATTCAAAAATTAGCTAAGTGAATTTGAATTTCTCCGCTTAAATTAATATTTAATTATCTTGATGATGAATGATGTCATGACAAAAAATTAGAAGACAGTTATTGATGGATATTAATATAATTCCGAAATAGATTTTTTAACATTTTGCTCTGAAATTATTTATTCTCGAGATCAC